AAAAAAAAAAAAATATATATATATATATATATATATATATTAAAAAATCAATTTGGTGGGTCCCACATGCATCCTCTTTAGGAAACCAAACAATATTTGCCTTGATTTTGGTGAATCTATTCCCGGGGATGATCCACATCACCCAATCGCCCCTTGGAGGCGATCCATTTTTTTATTTTTATTTTCATTTTTTTTACTATCGATTAAGGGGTGTTTTTAATTATAAAAAAAATGATATTTAAACTGTTTTTTTTTACCTTTTTAAGATCAAATTTCATTGTTATAGTTTATAAAATAAAATCATGATAATTGTGGATACGCAAAAATTACTTTTATTTGATTGGAAGGCAAAAATCAGATATTATATATGATTTAAGTAGTTTGACCGTTATTTCGTCTTTTAGTGTCTATGATTTGATGCCGATTTGATGACGATTTGACAATTAATGGATGCTTTTAATAAACATGAGACAATATTTAAACTGTTTTTTACCTTTTAGGACAAAATGTCATGGTTTTAGTTTATAAAATAAAACCATGATAATTGTGGATACGAAAAAATTATTTTTATCTGATTTGGAGAACAAAAATCAAATATTATATTTGATTTATGTAGTTTGACTGATATTTCATCTTTTAGTGTCTATGATTTGACGCCGATTTGACGATGTATTTTGTCTTATTACGTAACGGTTTATATAAATAGGCGGTCGAGGGGACCATAATCACCATCTCCACCGACATCCACCTCCCATTTCATCATAAAATATCTGATTTTTGTCCACCAAATAAGATCGTCCCCCCCATGGTCAGCCCTCTCCCCCGGAGGCAATCCGTGGGGATATTTTCGTAATTTTGGTAAAAATTAGTTATTTCGTTAATATCTCATGTATATTTTTGTTATTTTGGTGATTTTCCCTTACTTTATTCATAACCAATTAAAAATAAGAAAGATATAACGACATTGATATCAAAGCGAAAAAATTTAAATGTTATTTTTTCATATAATTTGTTTGGTTAAAATATTAAATCATTTTAAAATAATGTTTTAAAAATAAGATAATCAATTATTAATTAAAAAAAAGATAAACATTATTTTACGAGGATTTTAAACTTCATCAATTAATTTAGAGATGATAATATGAGTTTTTAGAACTACAAGTTTGCATAATTATTTTTTATAAAAGAGACAAAATTATATATATATATATATATATGTGTGTGTGTGTGTGGGGGGGGGGGGTGGTTCTTTTATTAATTCAATAATGGGTGATAATTTTGTGAATCAATCTTGGCCCTTGATTTTTAAAATCTATGGATGAGATCAATTATAACATATTTGTAATTAATTAAAAATGAAGGATATCAAAACATAGATGAACATGGGTATTCTTGGAAGAGATGTCCAAACCGATTACAGATCGATAATTAATTAATTCGGTTACAAATCGGTAATTCTTTATTACTTTTATAGTTCGTAGAATCATCCGCGTTGCATTATGAACAATTATGAATACATATGAACATATATATAACTTGTTAACTAATTTTAGTTCGTGTCTTTCACATATGAACATATGAGAACATTTATGGACACTTATTTGCACCTATTAAAACTTATGAACACTAAAGTAATTGACTTTCACATGTGAACACAATAATATATGATCAAAGTGTTTCGTTTGTAAACACATATTGACCAAATGTTAAATGTATATAGATACTATTTTATAAACACATTGGAGTACATGTGAATGATATATACACCATATGAACATTAACGACTACATATATGTTGAAGATGGAAAATCAAAGTTTCTTATCATATTAAAATAACACATTATTTATAATTTGGAAAAAAAAAATAAACATATTATTTTAGCTATAATCATGTTTTTGTAACCGTCCATTAATGAATATGAAGTTAAGACGAAAAAAGAAGATTATCATTATGTTATCAATATTAATTGTATGGTGATAGAATAACATAATCTAACAAAGGCTTGTGATTGGTCTAAATGGTTTGTATAATTAATACCCTTTTCATGATTAACAAATGATCTTAACACGTGCACTCTCTCTCTCTCTCTATATATATATATATATATATATATATTGATATTGATTTGCAGTTAATGTTTTTCATATCTATATTCTTAAAAAAATTAAGAGCTTTTAGAAGCAAAAACCTTAAATACTTTATAATATAACTAGAAGGGTTATATTATAAATTTGAAAATATTATAAAATTTTGA